TCCAATAAGAGGGTGGCACTTCTTCTCCAATAGAGAAGTGGCTGATTCTAAGACTGAAGCGGGGCAAATGCAAGATGAGCCTGGAGCATCTTATTCTGATAGAAAGTGAAGTTGCTTTTAAAAAATTAGTTGAGGGGCCTCCCCGGTGACTCAAAGGGTTAAGACGCAGCCAATGAAGCTTCCACAGCCTCTGTGGCATGAGTTCAATCCCCCGCTGGCCAGGGAGCTACCCACATGGCACAGCAGACCTCTCCTGACTCCCCTGCTGCTCCCCTCAGCAGTGTACTTAGAAGAAACTTAAGAAAACATGACATCTTAATGCAGTATAGAATCCTGTAACAGAAATAAGACTTTAGTGGAAAAACTGGTAGAATTGGAATCAAGGCTGTGGCTTGGTTAATGGTATTATACCAGTGTTAATTTCTTAGTTTCATAACTATCTTGTGATAATGTGAAATAAAGCTAGGTAAAAGATGTATTAGAACTTTTGTACAACATTTGCAATTTTTTTTTAAAGATTTGTTTGTTTATGCATACAAGAACTGGGGTACAGGCCGGAGATGCGGGGAGTGAGAGGATTCACCAGAGACAGAGTGGGGAACAAAACAGGCAAACTGATTGAAGTACATTGCTGAGGGGAGCAGTGGGCGAGTCACGAGAGGTCTGCTGCACCATGTAGGTAGCTCCCTGACTGGCCAGGGGATTGAACTAGTGCTGCAGTGGCTGCAGGTAGCTTCATAGGTTGCGTCTTAACCACTTGCGCCACCAGGGAGGCCCAACATTTACAATTCTTGTGTAAATCTAAAATTATTTAAAAATGTATTAACTCAATTTTTTTTCAAGCATGTGAATTGAGAGAGAGGAGAGGGATGAAAGGAAAGAGAAAACACTTGAGATTGGGTTTATAACAACAGGATTTTATATTTTGTCAGATGTAGCTCATTGGCTTTTTGTTCTAGCCTGCTTTCTGGGAGACTATTACCTTGCTTAGGTAAGTCTTTTAGTTAATTTATTAGAGTAGGTTTCCTGCAGTAGCTACAGGCCTCGCCCTAAGCAATAGCTTGAGGAGGCAGGTACCTGGGGCCAGATTTTTCAGTGAGTCATTGCCCAACCCTTAAAACTTGCAAGGACCTTTGTTTGAAAGATCCTTAGGTCTCCCGTTCATTGTATGTTTAGCTATCCCACTTGAAGCTACCTGATATGATAAAAGAACGCTGAATCAGGAATTATTAATAGAACTCTGGCTCACATACTAACTAGGTGAACTAAACTAGTTTTAGAAATTATTGAACCCAGGACCTCCATGGTGGTGCAGCAGGTTGAGCCCGCACTGTGAAGCTGTCCATAGCCTCTGTAGTGCTGGTTCGATTCCCAGCTGGCCAGGGAGAATCCCACATGGCGTGGCAGACCTCTCCTGCCTCACCTGCTGCTCCCTTCAGTAGTATCTTCGATCTGTCTGACTGTTCTGCTCCCCGCTGTCTCCGGTGAATTCTCTCACCCTCCCGTGCCTCTGACTGTACCCCAGTTCTTGTATAAATAAATAAATCTTAAAAAAAAAAAAAATTATTGAACCTGTATGTGGCCACCACAATAAAAGTTTGATCTCCCGCCAGGGATTAACCCACATGGCGTGGCAGACCTCTCCTGCCTCACCCGCTGCTCCCCTCAGCAGTGTATTTCAGTAGATCTGCCTGTTCTGCTCCCCACTCTGTCTCTGGTAAATCCTCTCACTGCCACCCCCACACCTCTGACCTGCACCCCAGTTCTCCTACGCAAAAATAAAATCTTTAAAAAAATTTTTAAAAGACTAGACCTCATTTCTGCTTACTCATAGGCTAATTCCTTTCACTATTCCATTTGAGTATGGCCAAAATTCCTTTGCATGGTTTCTAAGGCTCCTTCTATCTTTCCCCGGTTTTCAACTACTCCTGCACGTCGAATCTAACTCCATTGAAGTAGACTATGCTATTTCAACTCCCTGATGGAGTAATGCTGTTGCCCCTACCTGAGATTCATTTTCCTCATCCTCCTCATTTGTTGAAATTCTACTCATTCTGTAACTCCCAAGTCAGTCCAGTGTCTCCTCCTTCCCTCCCACTAAGTCAGAAAATCAAGTCTTGTACTTCTAGACCACACATTTTCACTGTCTGTCTAGTGCTATAATTATTGGGTACATGTTAGCAAACCCAGTAGATTATGCATACTGTTTGGGCAGTGCCCTCTCGCTATACCTTGTAGGAAGTATTTACTCAGTTTCTCAGAAATCATGTACTGATTATTGCTTTCACCTGTCATAGGTTACTAATCACATTGGCAGGAGATAGCAGTATGTTTCTGTGAAGAGAAATATAATTGAAGTACGGGTCACATCATGCCCTGAGTATAAACTGAGCTTATCTAACTTCTTGCCAAGATAGGTGTTTTGATTTTCCTTGGCTCTCTGACTAGAATTAGAATTAGGAATTAAATTCCTTTTTCTTTATCATACTCAATCCCTCAACTAATTAATGGTTTTCCTTTTTTATGAACAAATTTGACAACATATCTTCTGTATTTTTTCTTGGATCCAGAATTGATCTCTGTAGAAAAACTGACATTTATATCCATACCTACATTGGAAGCATAATTGTACCAGATGATGTCATAAAGTATTGGACCATAATTCCTAAATTTGGCATAAAAGATCATTATTGTGGTTTTATGTAATTAAGTTTAGCTGAATTGTCTGTTGGTTTGGTGTCTTTTTCTTGTTAGGGAAAAAATGGACAGTATTCAGTGGGTCTGTCAATTACAAACTGGTAAACAGATAGATTAAAAAAATAAGTATTGGGCCTCCCCGGTGGTGCAGCGGTTGAGCGCTGGGTTGCAAAGCTGCCCGCAGACTCTGCAGTGCTGGTTCAATCCCCGGCTGCTCCCCGGCCACCGGAGGAGGGTCCCACATGGCGCGCAGACCTCTCCTACTGCCCGCTGCTCCCCTCAGCAGTGTACCTCGGTCCTTCTGCCTGCTCTGCTCCCCGCTCTGGCTCTGGTGAATTCTCTCACCCTCCCGCGCTTCTGACTGTACCCAGTGCTTATATAAATAAATAAATAAATCTTAAAAAAATCTTAGCCGTTAAAAAAAAAAATTAAAAAAAAAAAATTAAAAAAAAATAAGTATTATTTGATACATTCAGATTTATTTCAAAGAACATGGGTATAATTAAGGTTATTTTCTCCAGGAATAATGTAAGAAATTAACATTTAGTGCTTATTCAATGCTAGGATCTTTTCTTAATCTTATGTATTCCTCATAGGATACTATGAAATAAGTAGTGTTACTATGGATGAAAAATCTTGAGTATAAGGGCACATAACTTTAAGTGATGGGGCCAGTTCTCTTACTTAGCTATATCTGTTTCTAACAGACCTCCTTACCATTAGAAGTTACTATGCTGCCTTGCAATGTGGGGATCAAAACAAAATGAAATTTAAAAAAAACACGCAACAAAACTGGTATTGTTTTTCAGATAAGGCTTTAATTGAGAACAAATACACGTGGAAAAGTAGTTTGGTCTTTTAGAATTGCTTATCACTTTGCTTTACAGGCCTTTAGTATAAAATAGTTGCCCTGGTTGCTGGGTTAAGCGACTGTGTGTTTTACTTTTGTCTAGGTTGTTGGAAGTAGTACCTGATGAACCAAACATTTTACCAGAATGTAGTTATGCTCTGTGATTGCCAAAAGGGCTACAAGTAGTAGTCTCATCTTTATTTTTTTACCCTTCAATAAGGAAACTGTTGACTCATTTCTAATCTCTTTTGGGCAAAGTTTGGGCTCCTTTGGTAATTACTGGGACAAAAAACAAACATTCCAGGCTATTGAATAGGGACTATGTGATATCACAGGCAAAGCCTTATGTATTCTTTGACTCAAAGGGGTTTTAGAAAAGAATTCAAGTATATAAGTTTTATGTCCTGAGTATGAAGTACATTGTACTTTCCCCAATTGCTAAAAGACTTTTTTTTTTTTAAAGATTTATTTATTTATTCATGCAAGAGCTGGGGTACAGGCCAGAGGTGTGGGGGTTGAGAGGATTCACCAGAGACAGAGTAGGGAACAGAACAGGCAGACTGACTGAAATACACTGCTGAGGGGAGCAGTGGGCGAGATAGGAGAGGTCTGTTGCACCATGTGCGTAGCTCCCTGGCCGGGGATTGAACTCATGCTGCATGTGCGGCTAGCTGCATAGGCTGCGTCTTAATCCCTTGCGCCACTAGGGAGGCCCTGCTAAAAGACTTTAAAATAATAAGAATTATAACAAAAGTCAATACTAATATATACTGAAGATGCTCTAAGACAACTAAAATATCCCTTATATTTTAATATATTACCTCCTTATATCCACATCAAAGACCCTAAAGAGATAGGTATTACTGTTTTTCAGCTGAAGAAACTAAAGCCAAAAAGGTGTTTCAAGGTAACCAAGTTACATTTTAACTGCAGTCTATCTTCCTTAAAGCCCTTGCTCCTTATATTATACCATGCTATAACCCCAGTGCTTTCCCAACGCAAGTGGTCAGTGTTCCAGAACTTGGGATAGAGAACAGCCAAAAGAAACTTGGATGTAGGTGGAACCTAATTTGGACCTAACTCTACAGAGATGCTGATTGTACCTCCCCTGGGATGTAACTTAGAAGAGTGGAACACTTCACTCCAAATGTGACTTTGGAACAGTCTTAAGTTCAGGGAAAGGCCAATTGATGTTTGCACAGTGGGGTCAGTCATAAAATGATGCAACTGGAAGGGACCTCAGAGATCATCTGGTCTAACCTTCTCATTTTCCAGGAAACTGCAATCCAAAGATACTAAATCATTTTACCAAGGCTACATTTTTTGAGGGCAAAGGTAGTGGAGTATGGTCTGCGGGTCTAGACTCTCCGCTTTTTCATCCCTCTGCTGCCAGACTTTGGATGCTGGAGAGTCCTCTTCTGTGTCTAATATTCTCACTTTCTTTGTTCCATAGGTCTTTCAGTATCTGTAGACAAAATGGAATCAACTCCATTTAATAGACGGCAATGGACTTCACAATCAGTGAGAGTAACAGCCAAAGAACTTTCTCTCATCAACAAGAACAAGTCTTCAGCTATTGTAGAAATATTCTCCAAGTAAGTACTGATCTGGATTTTAAAAAAAATCTGCCTTGAGGAAACATTACCATCTGTCAGAGAAATCAGTAAAGGAAGTCCATGATATAAAATGGTTTTGTTAAGCATCTTCTTGATCTTAGGACTATGCAGGGCTTTGTGGAAAAGGAATAAGGTGATTATCAGGAGACACATTTCTGTCTTTGAATGTTTGTTTTTTTGAGGAAAGAAAAAGTTACAAACACAAAATATAATTATAAAACATATGATTATGGGCCTCCCTGGTGGCGCAGGGAATTAAGATTCAGCCTATGAAGCTATGCACAGCCATTGCAGCACAAGTTCAATCCCAGGCCAGGGAGCTACCCACATGGTGCAGAAGACCACTCCTGACTTGCCTGCTGCTCCCTTCAGCAGTGTATTTTGGTCAGTCTGCCTGTTCTGTTCCCCACTCTGTCTCTGGTGAATCCTCTTACACACCCCGGCCCCACATCTCTGGCCTGTACCCCAGTTCTTGTATCCATAAATAAATAAATCTTAAAAAAAACCCCACATGATTATTAAGTAAAATGTCAGTAAGTCTAAAATGAATAGGAGTAGATATAAGATAAAGAACAAGAGACAAAGAGAGGGTCATCATGGGCTGAAGCTAGTAAGGAAGGGACTCTGGTTGAGATGAGTTTTGAAGCAAGTTTTGATTTTGTTGAAGGGAGTATTAAGCTCACTCTATACTTACATTGTCCAATATGGTAGCCACTACATATATGACTATTTATTTCGTTAAAATTTAATGACATTTAAAATTCAGTTCATAAGCTTCACTAGATGCATTTCAGTGTAGTGCAAATAGCTCCATGTAGCTGGTGACTGTCATATTGGACATCGTGGAAACATTTCATCATTGCATAAAATTCTGTTCAACAGTGTAGATTATAGCCCACTGTCTGCTGTTTGAGTCAGTAAAGGTTTACGGAACATAGCCATGTCCATCATTGTATTGTCTGTGGTTGCTCTTGTGCTCCCACCGTAGAGTTGCAGATTTGCAGGGAATACCAGATGGCCCTCAAAGCCGAAAATATTTACTCTCTGGTCCTTGTTGTTCTTTGGTATATGGGCCTCTTTCCTGCTTATTTTATATCCCCAGTTTGTGACATGGCAACTGGAACACTCAACAAATATTGAAGGAATGATATGTGTAAATAAGATACCAGAGATCCCATAGCAGGAAGTAGCTTTGGGCGGGCGGTAGGTTTATCTCACTAGTAAAGTTTGTTGATTAATAAGAAGCTATGATAAATTTAAGAGAAGAAAGATGGTAAAGATTTGAAGAGAGTGACTCTGGGGGATGTATCTAGGATGAGGCTAAATACCAACAGAAGGTTTCTCTAAGTTACAGAACTACCTTTTCTTCAGTAACAAATCCATCAAGCACCTGCTATGGTATGGGAAGTATTCTCCTTCCAAACCATTGCCCTTAGTTATCTCTTAAGTGGGGGAGATTGGGGGGGCACAGGCAGTATGAGACGGCACAGCCCTTTTGCCTTCTACATTATACATTTTATATTGGTATAATTTTATGTCAAACATGTATTATTCTTGTCAAAAAATAAAATCAATAAAGATAGTTCAGAAAAGGCATTGAGATCAGGAAATTTTAAAACTTAATCTCTGGCCTTAAGGAAATTTACAGTATGTTTTATATATTAGAGGATATCCCCAAACTTCTTTCATCTTAAGAATTATAATGGAATACCTGTTAATATTAAGGTCTTCCAGTTATATATTGCTATGTGAAAAAAAAAGTCTCCAAAATTTAGTGATGTTAAATAATTATAGCCTTTATTTTGCTTCTGACTCTCCAGTTAGGGCAGAACTTCCTCTGCTTCCCTCAGCATCAACTGGGGTTGCTCAGAGACTGGGGGCATCAGGCAGGTAAAGCTCATTCCTCACAGTCAGGTGCTGACACTGACAGTCGTTTGTGTTCTCAGGTGGGACTCTGGCTGGAACACCCACACATGACTTTTCCATGTGGTAGCTTGGCTTGTTTGACTAGGGCCCCAGGGCAAGTGCCAGAGACAGGGAGGGAGCAGTAAAAGAAGGCAAGAAACTGGGGTCAGTGGTTGTGTTGCCTGTTATGACCTAGCCTTAGAAGTTATGTGGTATCAATTTTGCCACATTCTCTTCATTACAAGTAGGTCACAAAGGCTGGCTCATTTTCAAGGGGAGAATTTGACTTTCCTTTTTGATGGGAGGAGTATTAAAGTTTTTTTTTTTTTTTGTGAATATTTCTCTGAAGAGTCTGACTCAATGTGTCTGGGATGGGGCCCAGGAATTTATGTGATTTAAACAGTATCCCAGGTGGTTTATATCTTCAGGAAAATTAGAAAGCACTAGTAGTGAAAAAGATGGATTTGTGAAATCAAAACAGTGAACTTGAACATAAAACAAAGTGAATAAGGTTTCTGATAGGAAGTTCAAGCAAAGTATTATGAAAACTGAATAAGAATCAAAGAAATAGGAAAACGAGCAATCTGTTATGGAGAAAGGGAGAAGGGACTGGTACCGTTCAGTTAGGGCCAGATGATGGAAGGCCTCAAATGCTGTGCTAAGTTTAGGATTTAGTTACATAAACTATGAAAACTATTGAAGGTTTTCATGCAGGGAGAATGACATGATCACACTTCTATTTTGGAAAGAGGCTCTGGTGACACTCTCAAAGTAAATGGGAAAAGTGAGAGATTGGGAGCAGGAAGACAAATTATGAGACTCTCTTGAGAAACTAAGTGAAAGCTATTGAGGATAGGGAGCAGCAGGAATGGAAAGGAAAGGAAGAGAAGGATTTGAGATAGTGTTCAGATGTGATTAATGGAACTTGGAAACTGTTCTGCAAAGAAACCTCCACATTCTTACCCTTTTCACCCTCCCTAGCCCCACCTCTCTTTAAGCTTGACTTTCCCTTGACAAGCTTTCTCTCTCTGAATGGTGACTGCCTGCTTTTTAAAGGGGTGAGCCAGCCTGGGACTTTCCAGCCCAGCTGTCCTGCTTTGATTTCTTTTATATGTTAGGTTCTAAATAAGATATTATTTGAATAATAAACTTTGCAGTGAAGAGAGTTTTAAAACCACTGATCTGGCTAACTTTTGTCCCATTGTTCTATCAGATAAGGAACTTGAGGTCCAGCAATTTTAACTGAAGAGCACACATCAAGATATAGGTCTCCCCCACTACCTGAAAGCAGAATGTTCATGTTTGGTATGATTTGGTAGGTTATTTTGGGAGTCTAGGAATGCTCAAAATGTTTTCCATATAAAATTTTTTAAAGATTTATTTATGCATACAAGAGCTGGGGTACAGGCCAGAGATGCAGGGGGTGAGAGGATTCACCAAAGACAGAGTGGGGAACAGAACAGGCAGATTGACCTAAGTACACTGCTGAGGGGAGCAGCGGGCGAGGCAGGAGAGGTATGCTACACCATGTGGATATCTCCCTGGTCGGGGACTGAACTCGTGCTGCAGTGGCTGCGGACAGCTCCATAGGTTGCGTCTTAACCCCTTGCACACCAGGGAGACCCTGTTTTCCATATAATTTAATGGTAATAGCATTCCTAGACCCAAAATAATCTACCAAATCATACCAAACATGATTGCTCTACTTTTGGATATTGGGGCAACCTGGAGTGGCAAAGTTGAACCTAGTGCACATATCTCTCCCCAGCCCATCATGCCTTCCTGCATCTCACAGCTCCTCCCACTCTTGTTACAACTTTGCCTGTTCCATAGTCCTAAGAAAGAACAGGGTTTGTATTTAGTTTGCTGTGACTGCTCTGCCTTAATTAAAAAAAATGACCCTCGGCTCTCCCTATTTAACTTCCTTTTTTTTCTCTCCTGTAATATTTTAGTGGTGAAATTGTTCCAGAAGTAAATTTACTGCCTAATCCTTGGGAGTTTCCATTTTCCCTTTTTTTTTTTTTAAGCTCTCTTCCCTTTGCTCTGTTTGCGGGCATACAAACAAGAGTCATGGCTCAGGAACTCTGTTTTCTGGCATTAGAAAAGTTTGAGACACTGTTATTACTCCCCAGATAATTTTAGCATCCTCCATCAACTGCCTGCCTCAGAAGTGAGCATTAACGAACAGTTACAAGGTTTGATTTTGTATGGGAAGAGGAGGAGACTAGAGGACAAAAAAATCTGGCAAGGGATGAGGGATAAGATTTTAATTACAGAAACTTCACTGCAAATATTTTTTCCCTCAAATCTGGGTCTTAAATGTACCTTCCTAGGCCTCCCTGGTGGCACAGGCGGTTGAGCACAGTGCTGTGAAGCTGTCTGCAGCCTCTGCAGCATGGTGTTCGATTCCCAGCCAGCCAGCGAGGTGACCCACATGGCGCTGCAGACCTCTCCTGTCTTGCCTGCTGCTCCCCTCAGCAGTGTATTTCAGTCAGTCTGCCTGTTCTGTTCCCCACTCTGTCTCTGGTGAATTCTCTCACCCTCCCGCGCCTCTGACCTATACCCCAGTTCTTGAAAAAAAGATGGAAAAAAGAAAAGTACCTTCCTTTCCTCTGCAAATCAGTGACCTTCACATTTTGTGTCAGAATAATGCTAGTTATTGTAAGCATCTTTGAAGAAAATTTGAGGCCTGAATTCTGTTCTAATACTAAATCCAGCAGTATCATGCTTTGTTGTCTTAGCTTTCTGAGAGTGTACAATGCAAAAGTACCAAAGGACCTGGCTGGGAAGAGAGCAGTGGTGTAGAACTTTGCTCCCTGCATATCTGCTATTTAGCAAGAATTTCTTTACAAATAAAGGTGGGGGCATTTGAATGGAAGTTTCAAAGCCGCCACCTGTGTCTCCCAGCTGCCGTAACACTAAAAGGACAAGACTGAAGATGAAAATGACTTTGGTCTTCTTTATGTCTATGTTTTTGTTAAGACAGTTAAGGGAAATGAACCCCTGAGCTTATTTACCTAGTTAACCACAGTGTAAATACCTTGCCCTAGAGAAACCTGTCTGCTGATTGGCTC